GAAGTTCGTAAGTGTTACGTTTTCTTGATTTTTGATGTACTTATACATATAACTCGTTCTTTCTTTTTCCTTCAAGAATCCGTTGAATTATGTCCTGACAATGAAACACGTGGCAAAAAACTCCATCTATTGGTTACATTTGGAAATGGTTCATCTCAATATTCTCAAGTTACACCTGATCGTTTCAATTTCAGTACGTCATATACGCAACAATTTCAACCTATAACATACGACGGCTCATTCAGTTTTATCAATAGAATTAATGATGATACCAAAGGTGCTTGGCATACTGATGCAACAGATCACACAGGTGATCCAGGTGGATACATGTTTTTAGTTAATGCTGATCCTCGACCTGGTCAGTTTTATAACAGTACAGTCAATAATCTATGTATTGGTCTACGTTATGAATTTTCTGCCTACTTGGCGAATATTGTGAGACCACTTGGCACAATTAAACCAAATGTTCGATTTGAAATTCGAAGTCCACCACCTTAAAATCGATTAATTGTCCAATCATTCTCAGGAGAGGTACCAGAGGAGAAAACTTTGACGTGGAGAAAATATGGACTTTCATTCATAGCGCCGAGCAGTACAATTGTTCTCTTAATGATATCCAATGCTCCTGGTGGCGGTGGCAATGACCTAGCCATTGATGATATTGCATTCACCGTTTGTTCAAACAAAGACAGTGGTTTCTGTCCTTCAAAATAGAACAAATACCAATTATATGAATATTAAATCATTCTAAGTAGTTTCATATTGTTACTAAAACTGGCAACTCCAATATCTTTTTCTTGCTTTCTCTCTCTACTTGTTCTTCATAAGTTTTAGTTTATTTTTTGTTCTCGCATTAACACTTGTATGTGTGTGATTCGATTATAATTTGAAATAAATAAGAACTTATCTGTAGTTAGCTAATAATAGTGCTCCGTAAATGTTCTTTTATTATCGACGAGGAGTACGCAGTCTTTATAGTATACTAGCGAGAGCCCGTGCATACTGTACGGCTCATTTCTTCTTTAGCGACTGACTTCAGACGTTTAACTTTTCATCCGATAACAGACATACAGATACGCGATGTCATGTATATAGATCGAAGCCTTACGGCCTCATGCTCTTCTATCGCACATATTTTTACAGTCCATGTAGCCTTATGATCCTTGTACATCTTGTAGCCTTATCCCTTTATTGTCTGACATCCTTCAGGGTCAATGAGTACCCCTATATAATAGTTCTTAAGGGGCTATGGGTCCCTCCATACGAGAGCCCTTGAGGACTGATAGGTATCGCAATATAATACTCCTTGAGGAATTATGGGCACTCCCATATAATAGCTCTTGAGGACCTATGGGTCCCTCCATATAATATCCTTCCTTTTATTAGAAAATTATTATTACTGCTGATAACAATCACTTTCCTTTCTATTGCTAGACCTTCCATTCCAGGCAACAAAAGTAATAGTCATGCGTGCTACACTATTTCGTCTTCTTTCTTTTAAATCCATCAAATAAATAGATTCTAGAACTTTTTTTTGTATTTAATTAAAAATATTGTACACGTAAACATTTTTCGATAATGAAATGTTTAATTAAACAAATGAATTAACATACCAAAGCAAAGGAAATATATATAATTCATCAAATATTTACCAACAATCTGTGTTAATAGAAGTGAAATCTTGAGAATGTGGATGTGACGTGAGGGTGTCAGTGTAGCTCTTATTTATCCACACCCAGTTATAATTATTTGAAGATAATGAAACCAAAGACAACTTAACAAATAAGTATCCGTTCTCCTCAAATTCTCAGACTTGAACATAATACTAAAAAAAGGCAAAGATGATTTTCTACCATGGTATTCTTCTTGTGGATGTCGCGTGATTGTAACATCCACACCCATCGATATGTCACAATACCAATGCAGTATTTGAATGATATTGACTGGTGATAGAGTATGTTTGTCTGATAGGGAACTGTTAAATCTATATGAAATCTGCAATTCAAAACCTTAATTAGAAAGTAAATCCAATTTTACTAATATGCAAAATATATCAAGCATTTTTGTCCTGTATTCATCTATTTGTCGAAAAAAACGATAATTCCTCTGTCAAATGTCATATATCATAGAAAAGTATATCTGTGAATTGCCGTCCATATTTATAACATGATGCCTATATATCAGTAGTAATATACTTCTTATATCTCATTTATGTCTAGATAATCCAAGCATTATGTGATTTTTTTTGTTTGTCATTCGTTTATTAATCTTTCTTTTATGGATTATAGTTGAAAAGCTTCACTCAAAATTTCGTCATACGATTATTATTTGAAGTCTTTGAGATATTCTATCTTATGATTTAAAAAGTATATCAACCCTTTTTGAACAATATATCATCATAGAATCATTGTCTTCGGCAAGGAAGTGAATGCAAAGAGCTCCTCGAGAATGTGAAATAACATGAATTTCCGTTCTTCGAAAAATGAAGAATTTTCAATTGCTAATTGTTCAGTTTTCTATGCTACCCAATTTGCATATAAACACATAGGCTTCAACAATTTACGGTGAAAATTAGTTCTGTACATACTGAAGTGAAATTTTAGATAACGCAGAAATGAAAAACCATGATTCTGATTTAAAAAGATTTTTATAGAAAATAATCATCAAATGACGCCTTTTAATGTGCGAGGAGTCTTAGTATGCACGGAAAAAGCAGAGTACAATACCCATCGCTATTATAAGATTCTTAATCTGTCTCGAAACTTATTCTGAATGAAGAATTCTATGTAAATAGTTCTTGAACTTCTATATTTTTCAAAAGTATCACTACAAACTAAGTCAAAATCGTAATTTTTTATAGACAAAAGTCAATATGATCGTTGATCTACACTTTGTTGAGCTTAAGATAGAGAAGTCGCTTTTGGATCACTTTATAGGGGAGTCTCTAGACAGGTCCTTCCTATATTTTATACATATAATCTACCATGAAACTATAAAAAATAGTGAAGGACTCTTTAGAAAAGTCATGATGGTGTGGGGATATGGGTATTTATAAGAAGAAATTTGAAGCCCACATCTACACACTCTCTCTTTCTTTTCCTTTGTTCATGTATCAATGTTTCTTTCTTTATTTATTATGATTTGATATCACCCTACTTCACTTGTTAGTACATGCGTGAACTGTTCAAAAATGCATTTATACATCATTCTTGTACCAACTCATGTGTTTGACAACAAATTGTACAAAGTCCCCATTCATTATGGGGGCAATAAATGACGAATACAATCGTTATAAAACTCTCTTACTTATTTCATGTACACCCTCTAGTGCAATTCGCATGATTTATTTGACATGAACGAAAACGGAAAATGAAAATAGAAATTTGAATGAAGTATTTATTGTAACTCTTGTCGATGAATTGACTAATTTTATTGTGAGTCTTAATTTCGTCACTCTTTTATATTTATTTTCTTTCGTCATCACACAGGAGACAAGCGATAGTAATTTATTTCAATAATATTTTCGGTGTAAGATCTAATCAAGTCAAATATATGAATATACGCCATCAAGTCTTTTCGTTGACTCGATGTAAAACTGCAAGAGAGAAAATGAATCCAAATATCGAAAGACGATCAATGTGATATAATTGACTTGTAAACAAAATAACTATGTGAAATGTTGAAATTCAAATTTTCAAGACACGTTCATGATTACCTCAGGCATATAAAAAACCTTCTACTTTAGTAATAACTGCTTATAGAATGAAATCAAGGTCAGTAACTTTTTGAGAAACGTTTTCTCGTATATTAAGAAACCGTTCAAAAATTCGAATATCAGGATACTAATATATATGTTATATTGACGATGGGTATGGAATTGAGTGTCTCTAATGAAAAGAAGCATATGTATAGCAATACGCACACCTCATGAACAGTATTGTTTTCAGACAGATAAACAATCAAATTGCTGATGCCATGTTTATTTTTGAAAAAGCACTAAAAAGTACATTTATTGAAGCTATAAAAGTACAACCAAGGGAAAAGAAATAAAAGCGAAAGACGATTATTACTTTCTATATTCATACAATAATTTAACAGCAATGCGAACGAATAAGGTAACTCCTGCCGAAGTTCAGAAGAAGATAATGTTTGTCAACCCTAATAATAAGATAAGTTCTTCTAAAATCGATCCACATATATATTCTAATGAATCATCAAAACGAAATCAATCTACGTATGATTATTGTCAAACGAATTATTCTTTGAATAATATATTCTTTGTTCATTCCCTAGTCGTCGCTGCAATCTATTGGCAATTGTTTTATGTATTCTCTGCGTACTACTCACTATAGCAGTCTGTGCAATTGTACCTGCTGTCGTTGTTAATCAACTTCTACAAGCAACAGCTTCAACTATGATAACAGGTGACTAATGCTTTTTTAGTGAGATTTTCCTTACTCATCCTGATGATTTTATTTAGATACAACAACAATTGAATCAAATAGCACAGTGGTACTTGAAGATATTTTCATTGATGTTTTTACTTTATTAAAACTTTTCTAGGATGTGGGTGGGTGTGGGTGTGGGTGTGGGTGTGGTGTGGGTGTGGGCGCATCTGCCAACAACACCCAGACCCACACCCGCCCACACCCCACACCTACCCACACCCACACCCACACTTACACCCACACCCGCACCCACCCA